CATTCGGATGCATTGGTGCGGCGCTGACCTTTTGGTGTTACAGACGTGGGGTACATCACCATGGCGCAGGCGCTCACGTTCACGTCGGATTTCAAGCTGGGCATTACATGAAGTGCGTTGCGCCGCTTGATTTCTATTTTACGCGATGTTGATAGCGGCGTAGGATCCCCCCGCGCATCATGTTCACGAGCCAGGTCATCGCGACGGTCGTCGCGGGCACGGTGCAGCTCGGCGTGCAGGCGTGGATGTTCACCAACATCGAGGGCATGTGCGACCGCTCGCAGAAGGACGGCTTCTGGTGCCCCTCGACCGGCGTCTTCGGCACCGCCTCCCATCTGGGCGTCATCGGCCCCGCGCGCCAGTGTGCGTCCCCTCCTTCCCGTCCTTTGTCCTATACTTACCCGCACGCAGTCTCGCACGGGCAGATCTACTACGCGCTGACGTTCTTCTTCCTGATCGGCTTCCTGTGCCCGCTCCTCGCGTGGCTCTGCACGCTCAAGTGGCCGAACAGCTGGCTGCGGTACCATCAACTTCCCCGTCATCTTCTCCGGCACGGGCTCATCCCGCCCGCCAACTCGAACAACTACGTCCCCTGGGCGATCGTCGGGTTCATCTTCCAGTACGTCATCCGCCGCCGCCATTTCGCGTGGTGGACAAAGTACAACTGTGCGTCCCCTCTCTCTTCTGTTTTATACGCCGATGCTAATAATGGTATGCGCGCAGACGTGCTCTCCGCGGCGCTCGACTCGGGCGTGGCCGTCTCGGCCGTGCTCATCTTCTTCCATCCTGCAGTACCCGAAGAACGGGAACATCGGCATCGACACGATCCAGGTCTGGTGGGGCAACACCGTGTGGCTCAACACCGCCGACGGGAACAAGACGCCGATGATCGCGCTCGCGGACGGCGAGACGTTCGGGCCCGCGACGTGGTAAATGTACATGTAGATGCTATTTCGCGCGCGGTAAACGATATACATGTTCGAGTTACGATGGTCGGTAGCTTAGGTTCGCATTTAAAATATGATCTAGTTTTCTTGCTCTTGTCGTGTGCGAGTCAAGGTTGCATTTGGGTAGATTAAAGCCGTCTTCTCAGAGTTCTTTCAATGAATGAATGTGAGACGGAGTAGAGCGTATTAGCAGCCGGTGTACGTCGTCTGCTGACTTTGCAGCTTGTGCTCTTTGTCTGCGTATCTCGTGGCGCTCTGTGGAGGCCCCACGCTCCATTGGTGCGATTGTGTGCTCCATGTTACTGGTGCGATTAGATGGGACGCGGATGGAGTGCAAGATAAGCTATGTCCCGAGTGTGGGGTAGCCCGTAATGGGCGAGTGGGGGTAATACGATGATATTGGGCTCGCTAATAGATAGTTAAGGGCTTTAACCCCCTAAGTATGCGGGAGGGAGCGCTCCGCGATGGGGTGTTAATTTTTCTAGGGTGCGCACCGGATTATGAGTGAGAACGCACCCCGAAATTGAGATAGGTGTAAGCAGGGAGAAATACATCAATGCAGAGGCAGGAGCGGACGTCCGGACACTGAGGTGCACGGCATGGGTCGCATTCCTTGCGGGAAGCCTTGTAAACATCCTGAGGTGTTCGGTTTATAGACTCTCGAGTACGAGAGACTAACTCTCGAGTGAGTACACGGTCAGAGTTGGACACGCCGCATTTAGTCCACGCGTTCGGTATACAGTCGAGATTCAATCTGGGATCACCACACATACCAGGAACTAAGGCGCTGACAACCACATAACTTGACGAAGTGCCCCACCCTTAATTTTATCCAACCTGAGCGCGCAGATATCCTACGGATAGATTTCTCTTGAGCGGGGGGGAACAGGCTTTGTCTGCGGACTACAAGCGAATGAGCCCAAGTGCGCTACAAACCCATCCCAGTCGCCGGCCTCGTGGTCTAATGGTTACGACACTAGCATTCTCTGCGACGTGAAATCCAGTAAGCTAGAGATTGGGGGTTCGAGTCCCGCCGGGGCAGGCTTTCTCCTCTTTTTCCGCACGACGCTCTGTTGACGGGTGACGGATGACGGGCGTTTGAAGTTGGGCGCGGAGATGTGACTCGGAATGACTTGGGTTTACACGTGTTTGGTTGAGAGGGACGCGTACGAGCGGCACGTGATATGGGTTGTGAGTTGTGTTCAATTCTTTGTGAACAGCTGCTCGTCGGAGGGGGGGTGCTGCTTCCATGAGAATCATAGTTTTTTTTTTTGTATTTGGCCCGCACAGACCATAGCCTCCCCGTATGAGCGTTCAAGCGGTCAGCTGACAATACTTCAGGTCTGGTCTCCGCACATAATTTAGTATTACTTGCCCGTGGTTGAGTGTTTGTAAACTTACCAAAATGTATGCACCGAGATCTCTCTGAATGCGCTCTCCATTTGACTCCAACCTTACACTCCGATTTATATTCCAATGTGTCCTTTGGCAGGATGATCCCTCCCCCCTTGGGACAGAAGTCTGGGCAAACACGCCCAGTGCCGCCGCCTCAAGAACTCGAGAGGCTTGGCGCGCTGGGGTGAACTAAGACATTATTCAGGATCAGCCATATTAACACCAATGCAAGTACATAATTAATTGAATTGCACACATACACATTTGGTCAGGAATGTCCCAGCGTCTGGAAATCGGCGGGGGTTAGTCCATGCAAAACCCCGAGCGACGTAGAAGTTTGATCTCCTCAATCTCCATCTGGCCTCGATATTACGGACAGCAGAGATCCTACTTTGTCGTTCGAGTCCAGGCTCCGCAATTAAACGGCTCTCATGTGAGAGGGGGACCGATATGATTTAAGTTGAAGGACAGTAGCTGCACACCCCGGACTTGGGGATCGCTGTCGGAACAAGATGAGGGGGCAGTCCAAACATTCCAGTTATCCCCGGTTGGGAGGAGGGCAATAAGTACAGCGGTGAGTAGCCTGAGAGCGCCCGCCGTCAAACCACTCAATAGGACAAGGACTTAGCATTGCGCCAAGCACACCCGGACTTGATACATGCGCTTTAGACGGAACTGCGTGGGGACGCCCAGCAAGAGATGGAACAGGATGAAACGCTGGTCCCCGGACAGATGTGCGACGGAAGAAGCTGATAAAAGGGGAAAATCCGAGTCACTTCCGAGATGCTCGCCCTGGTATCGCATGGCCAAGGCCAGACGCCCAAAACCCCGCCCATATGAGCTTGCATTCAAATACGATATCGTCTCATGCCGTGCAATTCCCTGTTTATTTGTGGCAGCGAGGAAGGAGTCTTCAAGATTTTTCTGAACACACCATCGATTCCGGTCTGGAACAGAGATTTGCTACTGCCTCCCATCTAGGGAGCCATCCTTCTATTCCAAGGCAAAGCTAAATCGACGAACGCTTCTAGCTTGCGCTTCCAGGGACCGCCCTTCGTTATTCGCGGTGGGGTTGCGGCACCGGTCTGACCGAGGGGTGGGCATGCTTGTCTGCTGTGCGGCGGGTTCTATCCCTGCAGGCATGTGAGCCCACCGAGGGGAGCATGATAGGCACATCAACATACACACTTAATGGGGCGCAAATCGAAGATTAACAGAACGCACCAAGCGACCGGAGTACGTTGCAGACCGTTTAAGCTTCGTCAACCGCGCGGTCCAGGTGCAAACCGTGAAACCGAAACGCACCTCGAAGTGGGAAGTCACTGCGACGGTTCTTCTTCCCGAGGGAAGTGACGGCTATACCCTTGGCGAAGTTAAATCACAGAACACCTTAGGTTCTAGCTTCAGCTCTTCTTTCAGGTGCGCAGGGTAGCTTCTCAGCTAGAGTTGCCGGCATCGGTGTGCATCTCGAGAAGACGCACCGTACACCCATTACATCTGAATCGAGCGATCTGTCGGTAGGGATCTTGGCGCAATGAGTAGGTCGGTTGTCCGGGAATATCGAACGGGTGTTAGCGATATAAGTGAGGGAAAATGTAAATCATGGTCAGACATGATCCCTGTCTTGATCATTGGGAGACGGGTTACTTCAACGTGGCGCAAAAGCTGATTTTGCCTCCAGCTGCGCTGATGCACAGCATCTGCATGATTCTCGTATAGGGCGGCCGGGAGCAAGGATCAAGTGGAGCTCGCAGCAGACTTCGGTGTTCGCCGCTAGAATATTGCGCAGGATTTGCTACAAGCTTGAGTTGCTTCTAGTTCCAGGGCCGGGTTGCCTCGAGTATTCCACTAGGCACGACGAAGCGCTGAGGATGGGGCTGGACTCAAAGGCAGTTAGTAGCGCGTAGCAAGCTTCGAGCTTCGTGGTATGCGCGGATTTGCGACGAGTTAAACCGGAGCTATTCAGACGTGAGTGTAGTGTCAGAGGAGTGAAGAGAAACTTGGCTATCATCTCGATTTGAAAATTTCTCACGGATGATATCCACACGACCGACGTATACAAAGCAAGATCATAGAGATGCGCACAAGATTGAAAGTTCCTGCAGGGTTACGAGTGAAACGCCACGATGACTTCAGCATGCGGTGTTTGTGCGATGTAGTCACTCCAGATGCACACAATGTGCGACGAGATCAAGAGTATCAGGAACGCCGGAATGCGTGGAAGTCAGAAGATTATGAATTATAGCGGGCATGAAGTCGCCGCAAGAGTTGGAATTGCGACCCCGTGTATACGATGTGATGTTTTTGCATGGGTTCTAGTCCGCGGGAGAAGTTGGTCTCGATATCTGGAAGATTTGAGAATCGAGAAATCCAAATTGGGATGGGATCGAGTCAGTTTTGGCCGCCTAGAACCCAGGGAAAATCCAAGTCTAGATGGGAACGTAAACACCCTAAAACGCGAGGGTGCTGGAGTGACTATGTTTCGCAGCGAGAACATCAACGGAGGGCTGCACGGATTCGTGAGTGCGCCGAGGCCCGGGCGGAAGAGTCCAGTATTCGTCCGGGGGTTTGAGACTTCCACTTCTTCGCGAAAGACGAAAGAAGATTTTGCAGCACATTGCGTGCGGCGGACCCCGATACGGCTAGCGTCGAGCAAGAATGTTTTCGAACTCGAAACTTGCGGAAGTGAATAAAGAGTCAAAATGGCGAAGGCTTCCGAGCGCTAGAGGCGATGTGGGGCCTGCTTCTAGGCGGAGTAACCAGAGGTTCTCCGACTCGGAGAATGCTTTTTACGGACCTGTACCTGTGCGCTGGTAGAGGGTCAGACGCAGATGAGTCTCCAGTTATGGACGACAAGGAAGGAAACTTGAGGGATATAGCCCGATGGGAATGCAGAGGGTGACGTGTCCGTACGCTCGTAAAAGAAGAAAAGAAAGTGGAGTCATTCCTGCGCAGCACATCGTGAGCATGAAATCTACTAGGATGAGGAAAACGTGCCCTCGGGGAATAGCATTGGATTTGGTGATGCTACGACCAGAAGAAGCTGGTCTTCATACAGGGTGACTATGGTGTGGTCCAGCGGTTTCAGTGGCCATATCGCTTTCCCCGTCAAACGGCCAAAGTGCCCGGGACCACAACTCTCCCGGGGGCCCGGGCGATAAGCAAGTACGCTTGAAGATAGTCTTGAAGGATGCTTGATCAAGGCTTCCCCGCCCAGCAGATGTCTTCACGAGGTCAAGGGCGAGTCAGTCCGTAAGGGATGCCGAAGCGGCAGTAATATTTCTCACGCACACGATCCGATCCGTTCGATCCGGTTCAGAGCCCCAAACTTCAAAAGCCTGCTATCCGTTTTTCTCATCACCTTCGCCAAATATTACGTGGGAGTTATTGACCCCATTATTGCATCCCCGAATTCTTGGTAGCCCGGAGTATTGGCACGATTTGAGCATGAACTCGCGCCTTCGCTGAGCCGATTGAATTCCAGGTCTCGGACGACCCTTCATGGATAAATATTACAAACTTGAATTGCTATTCAGTGCCAGAAGGACACGAGGGTACAAGGGTTCGAGGGTGCGAGGTTTCGGCTTGGGTTCGGCCATGGGCTCCGAGAGACTAGAGTGGTCTGATTGGTCCGGCAGTGTCCGTTAAACGAAGACAGTCCAAGTGAGGCGCCGCATGCTATCATCAATATACGTACAGCTTTTGCTCATCACGGTTTGAGGATAATTTGCCGTTTCAATTCCATACAATCTGACTCAGAATGAATTCATTCTGCTCCCAAACGGCATCTTGGACCTCCTTGAAGCTAGTAAGACTCAGTTGGTTTCATTACCTTGACCTTACCTGTGCTCTTTCAGTGCATCGGGACTTAATGCGCCGGTGTCTCGCCAATCAGAACACAGAATGACAGCATTTCAAATTTTCGTGCTTCTCGTTCTTTCTCTTGCGCACACGATCTTGACATGATCTGCTTTGATACTGGGCTGGACTCTGCTCCCACTGTTCTCTCCGCGCGCTGGAAGTTGTAGAAGTCCATGAGTACTTGACGCGTACTATGAATTGTTGGTGGCATGCAGCGCCACTGTGCCTCGGCTGTGCGGATCGCCGTGCACAGCTTTGACAGCACAGGTTCCGCTCACGGTTTCACGGAAAACGTGCGAAGTTTGAACCAAATGGTCTCCTGATAAATATGAGCGCATGGTCCTTGCATTTTTCCATCACTATTGAAATGCCCTCCCAGCCAACTGTCACTCAAATTCGACTCAACAATATTATAGCATGCCTGGGCATTGCTCTGGACACCTTAGAAACGATTTCTAAAACCATAGAGACACCGTTCTTGCAAGTGATCTTAATCACAACTCGATCTCTCTTGAGCTCCGTGCAAGTGAGTTTTCAGAATCTGCTGCAATTGTTTCCTGCCTGAATATGACTCGACGTTCCCAAGATTGTCCGAACGAACAAGGATCACTGTACCCGAATGATGGAGCAGATTTACGAGCTGCTCTACGCAATCATCCATTTTCACTTGAATTCAGATACCGATGGCGAACTATTATCAGCAAACTTGGTGGACAGTCTTGGGAAATTCACCGAGTATTTCCGTCCTCTCATTGTCTGGTGTTATTATTAATCGCTCTTGCGTAG